CGCTCGTGCCCGGCCGGGCGGCGGGGCTCGGCCGTCGGCTCCGTCTTTGTGCGGTCCCGCAAGCCCCGCGCGCCGGCCCCGCCCGATTCCCGCTCCTCTCCCATTCATTCCTCCCCCGGAACGAGGGGTCGGCCGGGGAGGGCCGGGGCCGCTCGCCCTCGCAGTGCGGCGGGCTTTCGGTAGTCAGGCCATGCGGAGAGGGTTCGCTTCCTTCCCTTTGCGGCGCGGCTGGCCCGGCCGCAGGGCGGTGGTCTTGGCCCCCAGGTGCCCGGGCAGCCCCCGGGGCGCCCTGATCAGGCCCCATTGTCCCACCCCCGGCCACGCGCTTCTGCCTCTGGCCCGGGGCAGGTGGCGGCCCCGCGCCCGGCGCGGCAGTCATCTCTTGCGGCCGCAGCGATCGAGTCTTGCGGGCTCCTACCCACTGGGGCCCGCCCGGCAGGTGTTATTTGTGGTCGGTCGGGGCTGGTCATCGCGACCCCCACGCCCGTCAGGACGCAGCCGTCAGCCCTCTGCGAAGTGCTTCCCCTCTGCTAACAAAGGAAAGACCCCTGCTCCTTCCCCTCCCGCGCCCACCCCCGAACACGAAAGGGGGGGTGAGCCAGTCCGAGTGGGTTTTCTGCGCTCAAACCTTCGGACCTTGGTCTTTGCTTCCCACCTCTTCCCCTTCCCCCTTTGACGTTTGCCAAATGAGTTCTTCGCTGGCCCGGGTTCCCGAGCTGGAGGAGGGTTCCTGTTCTTGGGCGGGGCCGGAGACATCCATTGTCTCTTCCGTACTATCTCCACCTGGGAAGCCGGGGCCTTTCTGGCCAGTCTGACTACCGCATTTGGGGAAGAGGGCACTGGGTGTTTGGACTGGAACCGTTTTCCAAGCCCTTGCCTGACTTGGTGGAAGGGTTTGTAACCGGTGGAAGGTGTCCACATTGTCTCGGCTAATTGCACACTGTTCTTTTAAGGTGGATACAGGCATTTCTGGGATCCTGCTCAAGGCTTGTAGGAAGCTTAGGTCCACTTTTTCTGGGCATCTATTCTTCACTGATCAAGACCGGCTGTCGTGTGCGGCCAGCCTTGGGGTCCTGGGCAAGTGGCACAAAGGGAGCCATTTTGTGGGGCTAAGAAGACGGCTGTGAAATAGTGCCTCACGGGGGTTGGAGAACTTGGGGACAAAAAGCTGGCCTCAGCAGTGAGTCTTAGGCGGGAGGTTGGACATGACATCCCTTTTCAACTCATTCCTTTCCCTTACACAATGTAGAAAAGAGTGGGAAAGATTTATAAAACTAAATTGGTGGGTCCTGGCAGGTTGGGGACCTTGAGTAGGACAGACCTATGAAAATACTGGTCACTCCCTCTTCTGTTGTCATCCTTGCAATGAGATCATTTTTTTCAGAGGACACTGGAACACACTGAACCTTGGTTTTTCTTTTTGTGCCATGCAGTCAACTTTCTGCTGGTTAGACTGTAGTGACTGGAATGTGAAAATTGACACATTATGTAAAAAACCAGGTTTTATCTTTTGGGGTTAAGTGTTGTTTAGTGCTTCATAAAGAATTTCAGTAACCGGGTCAAATTAATTCCTCATGCTAGTTTTTTGATATGTGTATTGGAAATGTGAGACTGGAATGGTTTTTGGTTCTGCAGAATAAATGTTTTCATTCACCTTTTGTCATCAATTTCCCTCCAATATTGTGATCTCAGGACTGGAGCTTTGTCCTTGTATTTACTTCTTACCTCTCCTTCCTCTGTAAGCTCACCCGAATTCTTCACTTGTTTCTGCAGTAACATTCTTCTGGCTCCATAAGCACATTATACATTTAGTCTGGTAGGGGATGATCTGCAAAGATCACATGCGAACTCTGGGGTTTAAAGAAAGAAGAAAAAAAAAGAGTAATTTAAAAAAAAATTGCTATCCGTAGTACTCGCGCACATTTTTGTTGAGTCTCAAATATGTAATCCTGGTTTAGTTCAGAAAGAATAGGAGGATCTTAAAAAATAAAACTGAAATAATTTCTGTCTTATGATCCAAATCCTTTGTTTGGGGATGTCTCACTGTTACAAATGGGCTTTACAACACTGACGTCATCGGAGTAGGTATTCCCTGCTATTGCGGGAGGAACACAGACCTTTAAAAAGTTGGGTGGTCAGAGCTTTGACTTTCTTTTTAAGCTGGTGTTTGGGTACTAGTATGTTCCCCCCCCACCTTTTTTTAACGCCAAAAAATACTTCCCAGCCTGCTAGGGTTCTGGAGATTTTCATCTTGCTAAAATAATTCATGAGAGTTTAATTATGATGGAAAGGAAAATCATTCTAATCTCCAAGGAGTGAAGGGGATGACAATGAAGCAAGTTAATTTTGATTTTATTTCAGGTGTCTTTGTTGATTTGGGGAACGAGGGATAAAAACCTGGTTGCTTCAAACTTTAACATGAAAGAAAGCCTATTAAGAATTTATAACACACCTTTAATTATGATTTAAAGTTTAATTAAGCAAACCTACAATTAATCATCTTTTTTTTTTTTTTTAAAGATTTTATTTATTTATTTGACAGAGACAGAGATAGCGAGAGCAGGAACACAAGCAGAGGGAGTGGGAGAGGGAGAGCAGGCTTCCCGCCGAGGAGGGAACCCGATGTGGGACTCAATCCCAGGACCCTGGGATCATGACCTGAGCCGAAGGCAGACGCTTAACGACTGAGCCACCCAGGCGCCCTACAATTAATCATCTTTATAAAATGCCTGGACACACATTTTTTTCTTAAGATTTATTTATTTGAGAGAGAGCGAGAGAGCAAGTGAGTGGGAGGAGGGGCAGACGGAGAGGGAGAGAGAATCTCAAGCCGGCTCCCTGCGGAGCGTGGAGCCAGATATGGGGCTCAGTCCCACAACCCATGAGATCATGATCTGAGCTGAAACAAAGAGTCAGATGCTTAACCAACTGAGCCATTAAAAGTGAGGCTGTTGAACCAGATAGAACAGAGCCCAGCAAACTATCACCCAAGGGCCAAATGCAGTGGATGCCTGATTTTTATATTCATAAATGGTTGTAAAAAAAAGATTCATTTCTTGACTTGTGGAAACTACATGAAAATCAAATGCAGTGTCTGTAAATAAAGTTTAATTTGAACAGAGCTGCGCTCGTTCGTTTTCATGTTGTCTGGGGCTGCCTTTGTGTTACACGGCAGAGCCGAATAACTGCAAGAGACCGCATGACCCACAGGCCAAAAGCATTTGCTCTCGGGCACTTTACACCAGAAGGAGAGGATCCGCCACCCTTTCCTCCGTGTACTGCCTGATATTCTTTGAGCCTCTGGAGGGTTCTGTACTTACTGATCGACTTTATGGAGGATGTGGAGGTTTAAGAGATGGGCTAGGTTTTGAAGAGCCCTTGAGGAAAGGGTAGAGAGTGCTCTAGGCCTGAGTAAGAATGGGAGTAAAGACCCCAAAGTGGAGATGAACCAACTATTCAGGGAAAGGTGAAGAAAGTGGCTGGACTGGATTGATGAAGAAGGTAAGAAGAACTAGATAAGGTGGAGAGGCCCGTTGATAGTCAGTCATATTTCCTTCAGTCCTGCCTGGGCTTAACCAAGGCTTCTACTGGCTTGTGGGTAGCAGGGACAAGGTACGAAGGGGCGGTGGTAGGGAGGCCAGGCCAGGGTGTCAGCTGTACCCAAGGGAGCAGAGGATCAGGATTTCTGTTGCAAGATGCAAGGGGACATGGGTACCCACGAATGATCACATGCCGTGGCCAGTGGGAAAACTAGTATTGTCAAAAGAAACATTGTCAGGGAATTCTGGGACCCAGAAGCTGCCTTTAAAAGAATTTTAGATTGGGGTTCCTGGCTGGCTCAGTTGGTGGAGCATGCAACTCCTGATCTCGGGGTTGTGAGTTCAAGCCCCACGTTGGGTGTAGAGATTACTTTTTAAAAAAATCTTAAAAAAAAAAAAAAGAATTTTAGATTAATGGCAATATAGAAAAATACGAAGTATGAAAAAGGACATTGAAATTCACCTGAAACCCCATCTGAGAGCACAAACCCTGGATAACATTGTGTGTATATATTCTCAGGCATTTATGTCTAGTTCCGATGATAGTAGCTAGTAGCCATGATGGCTATGTTCTAGGTTCTGTTCTGAGCACAGTCTATAGGATATCCTTAGAATAGTCTTACAAGACAACTGCCATGAACCTCTTCTAAAAGAGAATACCAAAGCATAGAGAGAGGTTAAGCAGTTTTCCCAAGGTCACACAGCTAGGTAAGTGTATCTCTTTAAAGGTTTTTTTTTTTTTTTT